CCGAGATACATCTCAATAGTGCCTGAGATCCAGACTGGATAGGCAGCCCACGTCTTATCGTATGAGGTATTCAGCTTGTATACATAGTAGGCCCGCACACTACCAGCGATACAGACTGCGAATCCAGCTCCGAAGAGAAGGCCGAGTACGATACGCTGCCGGGAAGGCAGTTTAAGAGCCATAACGGTGGGAATTGGCAAAATGACCACGCATAGATCAGTAACGGTATTGAGTATTCCACCGGCTAGGAGATGCGCAGTTTCGTTTATGCAGTTCTGAGGTTTAGTGGATAGAGTCCAGTAGGCGGAAATGGGTCTAGGGCCAGGGCATTAGTAGAATGACTTTGTATCAAGATGTAGATATCATACCGGCAGGTGAAAATAACCACGATACAAAAGATGATCATTTCCAGCGCAACGATCACCATAGTAGTTATGACAAGCCAGCTTAGAACAACCGAATGTGTGCCAGCTGTAATCTTCCGTGTAAAACATAATAGCGAGAGCTTAGTGAGTGAACAACCAATAGCAAATAGGCACTCTACTGCCATGGTCAACTTCAATCCGAGAATAAGGTGCTCAAATGGCACATCGTAGACATGTCTGCTCCAGCCGAATTCAATCGACCCCTTGACAGTGATGATACCACAAGCTATCGCAGGAATCGCGGCAGCAACTATAAATATATCATCTGCGCCAAAACTCTTCGATATATGGAGACGTGTAAATACGCGAATAAGAACAACAATAAGCGTTAAAGGCGCAAAAATTGCAGTTAATATGATTATTAGCGGTCCGCGAACGTCTGTTGGATTCACATAGTTTGGCTTGGGCCAGGAGAGTATCACCGAAATTGGAGGGAGCTGCATGTTGAGGCTGTCGACAGGGCTGTAACCATCGAGGGTCCTTCGCGGGGTGGGAGAAGAGAAAAATCCGTTGTGAGAGAGATGTGCTCTATATGAATAAAAATGAAGTGGAGGCTCTACCGTTGCGGAGTTATACGAGCTGATCGGACAATATATGGCTAAATCGGTCACAGACTACCGCTATTTTCCGATAGTGGCGGTTTAGCGGGTTGTCAAACTTGTTTTGGCTGCACGAGAAACTGTCTGAGGTCTTGAATACGAGAAAATTATGGTTGACTGGGCCATTTCCGCGATTCCGATCGATGTTCTCTGAAGCACGTTGCACACGCAAATGCAGACGCCCCTAGAATTGAACGTAGAATTAGTGCCCAGTGCGACGACATCTTCAGCGCTAATGCCTAGAGACAGTACGGAGTACTCCGTATATATCTTGTGCCATTGAAAGGGCGGAACACATCGACATCGCAGTTCCCGTCGCGCAGTATTCCTGACGACCTTTCCCGGAATCATGGGCGGCTCAGAGGAACCCTGTAACGACCAATGTCGCTAGCGCTGCACTAACGCCATGGCAGCCCAAGTGGTTCTACTATCCAACGGATGTCAGAGCTGGGATAATTCTCTTCGGTGTTGGTTGAAGCGATGAACAACCGTGTCAAGCACCCCGCAAGCCCTTATTTGTTTAGATTTTCCATAAAAGGGGTTGGTCGGGATGTTGTTTGGTTATGCGGCGTTGGATGAGGGTGATGATAGCAAAAAAATATCACTAAGCTATAATCTAGCGCCGAGAAGATATAATTGCCGAGATTGCTGCCTCATATCGGTAGCTGTCAATCGTGAGAGCACGAGTTAATGTTAAGAGGGCTGAGATCTGCAATGTTCTTTTAGGCCATGCAAGAACAAACATGAAGGGGCCGCCCGGCCATGTCTATCGGGATATTAAGTATCCAGCAGACTGAAACCATACCCGTGACCCCAGCATTGTCAAGCATCCTTTAACAAATACTAATTAGAGGTTGCAGAAGGGATCAAAGTTTTCGATATGATGTACTCCGTAGGTACCGCTGTGTTCCTTTTCTCTATGCTTCATCCCCCCAGGTGCGGACATGGTGGACCACCTGAAGTAGCGATACGAGTAAGGAGCTGTTCTCATCAAGTTTCTGAGGCTTTTTTTACACTTCATCTAGAAATGCTTTGTGATGTTGTGCATATGAAGGCGTCGGGAGAAAACTGCCACCACAACATCTTGGATCGACCCAAAGGGTCAAATAACGATAATGATTGGGCAGGGATAATCGGCATCGAATCCAAAAGACGATCAAGATGTTGATCAAACCAAGCTGCCAGTTATTGCTTATTGGTGGCTTGTGGCGGTGGCTTGGGAAGGTTTGGAATATTGGCCATGCGTAGCTTCAAGGTGGCCAGGGTCAGCTTTCATTTTGAATCTTCCACCATTAACACTGGTCGGATTCACGGCGAACTTCCCCCTTGGTCCGGAACCCAGGCGATAGTCCAGAATCTTAACAGAAGATACTCCATATAACTTTCGAAGCTTTGGTTCGAAGGCGGCCTTTTCTCTCAAAGGAAATTCCCCGGAGTTACTCCGTACAAGGTCAAGGAGTTTTAGCCACCCGTGTATTAAAGAAGATATCTCAATGGGCACGGCGGACGAGACCCTGCACTCTCCCCCCGAACCATCGGCCGCGGAAAACAGGATGATGAAGACGATCTATGCTCGACCGAAAAAGTCAAACGCCCCAAGGAGTACAGAGGACATATAGTTCAGTGATAACCTGGCTGATGGCCGAGTCGGGGGAACAAAGTCGTGAGGATTTCATCTTATCAGCATGGGAGCATATCCTCTTGGAGGTCCAATTCGCTGATTGTTGTCGCCGCCCCTAGATCTGCGGTGTGAGAGGTCGATCTTGTTGTCTTGGTCCTGAACTAGCATGATGGATGATCGCTGTGATATCCCTAGAAGACGCGTTAGCCAGGAGACGCTGGGCTTCATCCATAGGTACATCGAGCCAATAGTTAGGACAGGGACACTCCTGCTTGACATCTTGAGCCAACAATGGAATTGGTCGCGAGAGAGAAGGGAGAGTTCGCCCGGCAGCTCTAATATCCACAGTTGAAAGAGCGCGATTTGCGACGAAAAGACCTTTGTGAGCTTTTCGAGGAAGCTGGCAAGACTGAAACTACGAAGAGCAAAGCTTTGTTGTACAATATTGGCTCAAGGCGGGTGAAATCGTGAGTAAAGAGATGATTCTAATCTGCATAAAGGATTCCAGAACTGACAACTAGATACAATATTTGAACGTATATAGCCCTACCGGTATAATGGCTGGCATCTAAACTTCACAGACACAACCTTGGAATATACCACCAAGTCGCAATGCGAATTTCTCCGCCTTATCGTAATGCTGGGCACCCATAAGCTCCAGAGATTATACACTCGTCCAGGGACACTTTCAGCTCTTGCAGCCCTTCACGCACCGATTCTCTGACTTGGGTATGGGTATAGTTATCGAAAACCAGATTAAGGGCTCCAATGCATTCCTCCGAGGACTGGAACGACATGTTAGAGGTATGCTGCAGGAAGAGATCGGTCGCATCGGTCAACAACGTGGCTGGTTTCAACACGTATGCCGATCCTGCATAGACAATATTCTTAACCTCATATCTTTCTATATTCGATCCTACCCTGCAGGAGATTGTGTCCTCCGCCCAGCGACTCCAGCGTGAGGTGAACTGAAAGACAGGCGCTAATTACATATGCCAGAGGGTATTTAGATGGCTGAGCCATGCTGGCTTCGGGCCAAAGCTCTAACCGTGATCTGATCTAAACATCTGTCAGGCTGTTTCGCAAGTGAACCAAAGAATCCAGGTTTGATTCCCACACGCTCAGGTCGGTCGGCAAGGCAGTCGGTGTAGGAACGAGATACCCGATGTGAAAGCTGGCACGAATGGCATTGACATCAAAACTGTCGCCGTGGAAAATATCTATTAGTTCCTTTGCTTGTCGGCCGGCGAGATGGAGCATCACCTTTTCGTCCTTAGGATGGAACGTCAGGATCGGGTTTATGCTCTAGACATCGCCTCCGATAGCCATTGAGCGCGTTATGCGGAGCCATCTCGGCCTTTGCGCTTGCTCTTAACTCTGACTTATCAACCCCCTTGCTACCACCCATTGAGGAGACTTGAAGCTCGACTCTGGGCGCTCACGATGCCTAAGCGGGTAATGAGGCGAGGGTATCTTGGGACTTTCGTAGATTGTCTCGGATGCCCAGAAGTTGCTGCCATTATTGAGATACAAACGCCGCACAATCAGGTATATGAGCACATGTCGCATCGACCCGATTGAGCTGCTTCACATAAGCATCTACATGTCTAGGAGATTATTAAGGCCCAAGCAGGTAATGAATTGACTATTGTTGAAACTCAAGTCGGGCTTGGCCACGGTGGCGCGGACATTGCGCGGGCTACCCTGGCGACACAATTCCTGTTTAGATGGCAGTTCCCTTGGATGTCGTGCTCCGATGACGATACTGTAGAATCCTACAGACGTTCCCTAGCATTCCAACAATGCGGCCAATACTCTGATAGCGTCTCCTTACCCGGCATGGATATGTGTCCAACATTCCTCAGGTTCGGCTCAGTTGGTCCGCACCAGGATTAACGGAGAGTTGATCTCGAACCTGTCGTATGGCCTGCGCTGTCTTCACGGTGAATGTGTTTTGTACCAGTGACTGTTTCCTGAGAACGGGAGGGTAAGTTTCTTCTGGGAACACAAGGCCTATAACCCAAACAACTGCGTCTAGTATAGAAGCCAGTGTGCATGCTGAGCACTCAGTCCACCTATTTATTAGCTATTGAGGACATGCTGGAGAGAGAAGACGGTATGAATTATCTGAGAGCATTGCCAACTGAAGCAATATTCACCCAGTCCATATTCCGTATGTTTGCGGGAATAAATAGAGACACATTGGCAAGGTGTTGATTGAGATAACTCTAGGATAACCCGCACTCCTATCTGATAGTATGTAGGCCGGCAAGAATCTAAGCAATCAATCATAGATGAACGTCTTAACAAGAATCCTTCAAGAGGGAAAAAAAAAAGATAAATTAAAGATAAGACTGCCCACACTCGGACTCGAACCGAGGATCTCATCATGACCTTGTGAAGTACGAGTGATGCGCTTTACCACTAAGCCATATGGGCCGAACGTAAGAGAACTCTTTTCAAAGTCGCTTCTCAGCACATAACCTTACTTCCTATATTAGTATATAAATATATAAAATAAAACAGACCTGCCCACACTCAGAGTAACGGAGGGTCTCATTATAATGACAAAGTACTAGTGATGCGCTTTATCACCAAGCTATGCGGGCTGGACGATGGAAAACTCTCCTTAAAGTTGCTTAGTGCATGCACTTGGCATAAAATCTAAAAAGCAAATAAAATTAAAGACGTTTTGCCCACACTCAGATCAACGGAGGCTCTCATCATCAAACTACGATGTGCTTACCGACTAAGCCATATGGGCTGGATGTTGGGTCTATGCTCTTTGAGCTCAAAGAGTCTAAAGGGCCACGGTCCATAATAGCCTGGGACAGCCAGCTCCATATATCGAACACATCTAATGCTTCACACGCGATCCCACACGCTCTGTGACAAGGATATTAATACAACCTTTCTTACGCAGATATCCATACCAACTCCGCTCTATTTTGTATCTTACTTCTATCTTCTTTTGACTGTTACAGTATCGCGTTTAGTATATATGGGTAATCCCGCTAAACCTCTAAGAAAGCGGCCCGGGCTGGAAAGGGACGTCGAAAGCGAATAGGCGGTATATAAAAGCACGAGCATCTTACCACAAGCCAAGTTGTATAACAGTATATGGACCCACGAATGACGTATATCCCGCTATATCAACATTGGAACCCTCGAAAAAAAAGAGTTGAAAAACGCCGAGATTTCTCCGGGCGCCGATCGAAGTTCCTTGCGCCAAAACTCTGTTCCTCGGCTCTCGGCGATTTTTTTTCGCAGCTTGTGCATTAAAGTAGAATAGAAGACAGAGGGAAGAAATCAAAAGACAGGACTTGATTAACTGTAGCTGGTGGTATTATTTATTATAAGCAGGCTGTCTTTGGCCGGTTCAACGCCGTCTTCCTCTGGGACATGAGAGATCTATCATCTTCTGGTCTTGTGGTCTATGGTGTATGAACTCCGTGGAAGTGTCTCAAATCCACCTCCTTTTCTGCATCTGAGCAAGCTGCTCTCTGATCCCCTTCAACTCGTCCATCCGGGCTGCCTCGCCATTCAGAACCCGCATATGCTCTTTCTTTAGCTCCTCAAAGGCGTTGTCGAGCTGTTTGTGCCAGGGATACAGCACAAAGACCTGAAAGCCCAGGGCGGAGGAGGCCACTAGGAAATTCGTCAAGGAGACGCCGCGTGTAAAAATCATGGTCGCAAGGCTGCGTGGTTCTGTTGTTAGTCGGTTAAATCTCGCCAAAAAGCTGTTCAGACGCGTACCTGATGGACTTACATTTGATATTTCTTTCCGTAAATGTTCAGTAACTAGAAGCTGGTTTGGCTTTATCGTGTTCGGTAGAATGCTTCTGATACACTCGCGACCATAGAGTAGAGACTCATGAATCAAGGCTGAAGAGACCTTGCGACAGTATATCGAGAGAGCAGAGAGTGTCAGTCATAAGAGCGGTAAGTGAGATCAGTTGACGTGTTCGGGAGCAAGTCGAACCCTTTAGAAGACATCGCGAAAAAGGACCGCCGAGAGTTCTCCGGGCGAGTCCGTGGGTCTGGGCCGCATCTTTTTCCTCTAGCTGTGAAAAATTTGCAAGGCTTTTTTTTCTCTGCCTTCACTCTTAGGCAGACAGAGAACGACAGCAAGACATCGACAACCGACACAACTCGCCCGTGTCAGGCTGACGATGCATGGGGTATATGCTAGAGGCTACTGAGCCCCCTATTGATGTCTGGATTGCCTATACTTGGCCCGGGCGAACGATGCCAGAAGCAAACATATACGGGGGCTGCCGCGTTCACCGCTGGACGAAGATTCAACCCGGAGCCACAGTCTATATGGTGGCTGTCCGATCACCGGCCTTCTTGTTATTTCCTTCTCCTTTGAAGTGGTCAATACCCGCTTAGCCTCCGAACAGACCGACCTATACGGAGTTCCAGGTGGTGTCCTAGGCGGCTTCATTGAATCATGAGTGGTGCAATTTTCTTGGATTTCCCAGATATACAAGTGACAGATGAGAGATTCATACTCGCTACACTATTCTCAGTAGTACACTACCACATCTATTGCCTCTAGCTAGCCGTTAGCCTCGGATATACCTAACGCCCAGTCCCCTGCCCTCCCCACCCCCCCCCTGGGAACTCAAGGCTATGCCATATCCCGATAGCTGCGAGATGATACAGCTATATCCAGCCCATCTTCCTACTCAGCGGCATGTCAGAGCAATACCAGCACCAGGTCAAAGAAAGCCTTGGCTCCTTGCTGCTTCAAAGCTCGATGACCGCGGTTCCAGTTCGTGATCTCTAGACTAAAGAAGCCAGAACTGAAGCCAAAACCGTTATAGGACGACATGACCTAAAGAGTCTAGAAGAACATTTCCGAGGTTCAACTAAGGGGAAACACCTTGTTTATCGTGCAGATGTTCCTACACAGGGACAATCTGGGCAGCATAGGGCCCTGTTTTCTTAAATATCTCGCTTTTTGAAAGGGGTGGAGACTGTATCCTTCAATAATACATGGAAAAGAAGCTATAGGTATCAGTGGGTGGGGATAGCTGGATAAACTGAGTGACGAGGATGATTTAAACAATCAGCCAGGTTATCATTTAACTAGATATTTAGCTAGTTATAACTGCTGGGCAGCAGTGTTATCAGAAGAACCCGTTGGTTAACCCACTAAGCTAGTTATCTAGTTCTCTTGACCAACCAGCCCAGTAGAAACTCAACGTCATGGTCACTTACAGCTTAGAATTACATTAGAATAGTTAACATTATTATCACGGTGTCTGGCCACGAACATTTCCATTCCCCTTAAGTTCACACACTCTGCTGTCCGCCATGGCGTCTGCGACGCCCTCACTCGATGTAAAGAGAGAGAGTATTGGGGAACTGACCCCCCTCCTGGTGTACGCATCCCGACAGGCATGGAGTTGCTCAGCCTGTGCACCGCAGAGAACCCACGCCATTACTCGATGGGCATTCCCTATCCACCAGAATCACCCATTCTTTGGATTAAATACGGTCGCCCCGTTCTTTGGAATGAAGTCCCTGCCCAAGTAATGGCATATCACGAGCTTCGGCTGCTAAGATCACCCGCCAGAGCGCCCGCCATCTACTATGCTTGCACTATCGAATACAAAACTTACATTGTGATGGAATACATCCCGGGGAAGACGGCGGCCCAGTTACTGGAGGTACCAGGAAAGACGGCGGTCGAATTGCGGAAGGGGATATCTGATCCAGCTAAGAGGGAGGCTATCTTCCGCCTTGTTGCTCTTGGTATTCATGAATTGCATCGGATTCCTGTGCCTCCGCGGTCTCGTCCCACTGCTATGGATGGCGGATTGATCAGACATGGCCTTTTTGATGAGCAGGAGGCTCCGAGGCATTACCAGACTATCGACCAGCTTGAGGAGCATCTCAACTTAGTATGTATCATACCACTTTAAAGCCTGTTATATGATTTACTAACTCCAGGATAGTTTCTAAAAATCACAAGACGCAAACAGAGGGTTGAGAGGCTGGCCGAGGAGCCAATGGTCTTCTGTTTCTCTGACCTCTGGCTCGGCAATTTTATCATTGATGATCAGAATCGCGTGGTTGTTATCGACTTTGGCGATGTGAGTGTTCTGCCATCTAGTTTCTCAAAATTTGCCCTACTACCTTCGCAAAACGATTACCCCATCGACATATCATCCTGGGTAAAGGTCCCATCTACAGATGATGTTGATAACACAGAAGCGCTGTGTGCCATTGCCGGCCCAATGATGGTAGGGTCAAGTTCCTTCGAATCCATCGGCCAGCGAATTGCAGGGGCGAGATGGCAACCAACAGATTGAGAATACGTGTGATGAGAATTGGAGCAGAGCCATCAGACCACAAGAAAGCCATCACTACACCTAATGATGCTGGCGCCACCGCTTATCTCAAGATTTCGCTGGCAGAACATTGAACTCTGGGTACAGGGCGATCAGTTTAATATATGCAGCCGTGGAGGTGACGGGTTCTTCCACTGTTATTTTTTTGTTACTTTTAACTACCCTGTAGAAAGTATTCAAGAACTTATTTGTAGGTATGTGTCTAACACTTCCATAATAGCTTCAAACTTATCCCAAACACAATCCACTCTCTACACACTCACACTGCACAGAATGCAAACGATGTTATTGGCATGCTCTTCTGCTTTAACTCTGGGACACCTTCGGGATAATCAATGGTTGTGCTGAGATTGGCGCCGTGGCCCGTCGTCTCCAGGCCGACAATGCCATCCGTGTATGGCTGCAGCCCAATAATATCAGATAGATTACTGACATGCAGGACGTGCCTGAGCTCCGTAATATATGCAGTAGATCAACACCCTGCCAGTCGATCCCCTCGCACAAAAACGAGGCTTTAATTCATAGTCACAAGTGGAATTTGATACCAATCAGTCGGCTTCATTCCATAGCCGTGCATGAGATATTCTTATTAAGTCTCATGATTGAGAATTGTTGGGTGCATTGTATTGCTGATCTCTCTAGGTGATTCTTCATCCAGGGTTGATGATATTTAGCCCAGCTGGAATAGGCTGTGAAAAGGGTGGCATCTCATCAAATATCATACTCAGCCCCATAAATACGCACCTTTTTTTTATAGAGGTATAGAGTAAGCAGACGGTATATAAGGATAAGCTATACAAGAGGTATAGTAGTCCGGCTGATACTGCTGGGATCGTCTGGGCTTGTTCTTCACCTGCTCGACAGTTAGACATCTTTGCCTTGTTAAAAAGTGCAAATCCCGTCTTGAAGCTGTCTATAGCACCATATATCGTCGACTCGGCCATCAAATCTTCAGTCTCAAAAAAAAAGATTCTCTTCTCGACGTGTCTCAAAAAGTCAAGAAGTTGAGACTCCACGTGACCATATCCCGCTGAGGAGAAAAAAAACACGGGAAAGTCACAAGAGAAAGGGGGAAAA